TTACAACTTGTAACCCTAATTAATCCCCCTTCCAACCCTAATTTCATAACTTTGGTAATTTCCCCTCCCTTTCTCCTCAGTCCTCACTCCCGTCGTAGACAGCCCCTCACTCACTCTTGGTTTCAGCTAGCCAATCAAGCTCTCAAGTCTCACCTCACCTTCAACCTTCCTCTCCCCTTCTTGCTGCTATAGATCTATTGCAAATCTGTTGTTGGAGCTGCTACAAATATGCTGCTGAAGCTGTTACAGATCTGCTCTTGAAGTTGCTGTCAAAGCTGTTAGCTGCAGCCTACAGATCTGATGGAGTTCATCCTGCTGACTGCTGAACTCTGTCTCTGCACTTGCTCTCTGCTGCTTGCTGCACTGTGCCGGACTTGCTTTCTGCTTGTTGCACTGTGCCAGACCCCTCTCTGCTTGCTGCACTGCGCCGGATTTGCTTTATGCTTGCTGCACTGTGCCGGACCCCTCTCTGCTTGCTGCATTGCGCCGGACTTGCTCTCTGCTGCTTGTTGCACTGTGCCGGACTTGCTCTTTGCTTGCTGCACTGTGCCAGACCCCTCTCTGCTTGCTGCACTGCACCGGACTTGCTCTCTGCTTGCTGCACTGTGCCGGACCCCTCTCTACTTGTTGCATTGTGCCGGACTTGCTGCCTGTGCCGGACTTGCTCTCTGCTTGCTGCACTGTGCTGGAAAATTTTATTGATTTAATTATTTGTGTTAAATTAATTTTTATTTATATTTGACGCAAAAAATAGATACTTTGTTATTAATTTGTGGGGAATGGGGATCCCGCGGGGAAAGGGGACCTCGCGGGGAAAGGGGACGGGGCAAAATCTGCCCACCATCAAAAATCCCTGCGGGGACGAGGACGGGAGGTACTCTCCGGCCCCATGGGGCCCGTTGACATCCCTATATAGGCCCATGAACTCGATCAGTATAATTTTTGAATTCAATATGACATCTCATGTATATGTGTTTGTGCTCTTTCATGTGTGCGCTCTCGAATTGGCTAGTTAGACTTTTTCGATGTTGGTGTAATCAAGTGTTTAAGGATGGGTTTGGTAGAGAAAGTCCATGGTGAGGTGTAAAGTTCAAAATGATTGCATTTTGACGAGAGAGACTTACATGTTCACAGGAGAGGAGATCCCACATTGATAAGAAAAAATATGCTAATAAAATATATGTGGAGGCCTATGAATCCAATAAGTATATCTTTTGAGTTCAATATGACAATTTTCTCATGTGTTTGTGTTCTCTCACTATTGCACTCTCGAGCCTCTCACTTAGATCGTCTGCGGTTTCATGTTTGTAGCTACGTTAAGATATGCCCTAGTAACCTGAAGGCCTGCCTCTGTTCGATTATGGCAGAGCTTTGTTTGTTGGTAACAATGAAGGCTGCTAGATTGCAAAGAACATTCAATTTTTAGGTGCCATCTCTTTTTCCTTGAACCTAAGGGAGATGGTATGTTTTAAGCTTATTTGTAACTTTGTCATCTTGTGAAATTGCACTATGTATTTCATTGAAAATAGCAGACAAGTCGCCTCTTCTTCTTGTTTTTCAGGTTCAAAAAGCTTCTTCAAAATTCAAGGACACAGAAATGAAATTTTAGGATAAGTTTCTGTTGGCCCAAATGGCAACCCAAGAAGGGGGTAAATTGGGTTTCAAAAACCTTATACAATTTTTGAATAAAGCAATGATCAAGCATAAGCAATCAATAAGCTATTGTTGGCCCATATGACAACCCAAGAGGGGGTAAATTGGGTTTCAAAAACCTTATGCAATTTTTGAATAAAGCAATGATCAAGCATAAGCAATCAATAAGCTATTGTAAACAAAATTACAAAAATTAAAAGAGTAGGGTAAGAAATATCAAACGCTTTGATTTATCTTGGTTCGTCACCATCTTTGGTACCTATGTCCAGTCCTCGAGTTTTCTACGCTCGAGATTTAATCCACTAACACTAGCTTCAACAAGTGCTAGTGAAACCGATTACAATAGCTTGCTAGTGCTATCAACCGTTTGAATCCCTTGTTACAAATCTCTTAACCTGTCTTATACCTCAAGGATGGATTTCTAGATCTAACAAGATTTCACCAATCCATCTCTCACTTGTTACAATGAAAGAGAACAAAAAAAGTAAGAGAATTCTCAAAAAACAAGGTAAAGGTTTAACACTCTTGGTTTTTCAACTTCAGGGCTCTGTTCTTCTTCTCTACTCTTCCAGATCTGATTTTGTAATACTTGAAAGTGTTAAATCAATGCTTTTTACCGTTGGAGAATTTTCTACATAAATGCTTCAAAAATCAGAATTATACGATAAAATGCACTTTTTGTTTTTTGTTCCCACAACAAGGAAATATAATCATACAATTAAATGGACTTTCACTAAAAAGGAAACACATTCAAATTAAATATTTAACAATTAATTAGTAGAAATAAATCAAATATTCACAATTAACTTTGAATCCAAATCAATAACATATCCTAATTTACTGACAAATAAATATTCTAATTCACATTTGGTTTTTAAATCATCAAAATCAAGAATAATAATTTCTTCTATGGAATTGCTAGAAATTAGTTTTTTTTTATAATTAAAATATCAAGAATAATAATAAAGTAGTTTAAATATTATTAATAAATTAATACGCCAAAATATTAAGTATTTAAACAATTTCAGAAGCAATTTTAATTTTCACTTTTCTCCTTTTATCTCATAACAAAGAGAAAAAATGTGAAATTTCAGGTTTCTTGTTCTTAGTCACTACAGTCGACAAGACTACCTATTTATATCCTCTCTGTGTGCAACAAATTTTGCTCTATGTGCTTTTTTTATTTTTTATTTTTATTTTTTTGTATCATTTTACGTCTTACATGTTTGATTGCATCATTCAGTCTATTTGTAAGGAATAAAGAAAAAGCTGCAACAAAAATAAGACTAAAATCTAAATTACAGGTTTGATGCTCCCATTCTAGTCAACATGTTTAGTTGATAGAAAAGTTATTCATTAAGTAAATTATAAAAATAAAAGTAAATTAGATAGAGATCACACAAATGATTTTTTCTTAATTTATTTCTGATTTAAAGAACTTGGTCCTGCTTATATAATCAGAGGTTACTCTTCCTTTGTCTGATGCATGATTTCAATAACTTTAATAGGATGCTTCCAGGAAATAAGGTTTGCATAGTTGATTAATTAACACTTGTGGATTAGACCAGCTGGTGATTAACACTTCTGTTTTCATGATGGACTAAACCGGCTGGTAACTGAGTCAACGAGTCAATCATCTTTATTTCTTTAACTCGAGCGTGTTCCACATGCTTTCGTATGGTTGAATTCAGCTAGCTGGTCAAGCACGCTTTTTTTTAAGCTGACTTGAGCGTGTTTCACACTCCTAGTTATTTGTATTGTTGAATTCTGATATCAAACTGTCTGGCCCAGTGTACCTTTCTGTTAAA